GGGCTCGCGTGTAGTGAAGAGCTTGTTTGTGATCTGTTGCCTAACACTGGCTGCTTCTTGCTGGCCTCCTCTCTTGCAAAAAGCCACCAAGGTTGGTGGAGTTGAAAGGCTAACAGCCACTAGCAAATATACTGGCAGCCACAAAGAACATTTTGATGAGAGTGGCAAAGGGAAGGGTCTTGCTGACCGCCAGGATGTGATGGACAACAGTGGCTATGTCGGAGACTACAAGGGAACTGGCACACTAGGACTGAAACTGCTAAAGGAAACAAGGACTTTTCTCCTATAGCACAAGAGAAGAGGCAAATAAACATCTCAAGCAAACAGCCTTCTGTGTTTGTATCCCAAATCCAACAGGGTGGGCATGCATGGGATGGGCACTGGATGACTCCGAAGAGTGGTGCAGGTTTCCCTTCTGACCACGCTTAGATTGCTGGGTGATAGGGTTAAATCTAAGCTCAAGCTGGCCTTCTGGAGGAAATTCTATGGCCTGGCTAGTCCGCTGCCATCGCACTGCTTTGCATTTCTAGTCAGATGTTCACCTCAGTAGGTGATTCTAAATAGTCACTCATTTTTATTCTCCTCTCCCAACACACTATACTTTTTGCTGTGATTTTCGGCTTGGGGAGCGGTGTGCGCGCATTTTTATACAGCTGTGCTGGGCTACATTTGAGTTGACGGTTTCTATGGCAGACAGTCCACCAGTGGTGCCTGACCACACCTGGAAGAGCACTGTTACAGGGCACAGGATGCAACATGTACCATATTTGTGGAAAGGAAAGGGGCACTGATAACAGCAGTTCCTGCTTTTTGTTTTCACCTTCCCCCAGGTTAAACCCTCTCTCCTACTTGTAGCCCTTGGCTTGGTCACTTTCTAATATTTCCCCAGGCTTAAGGACGCTGGCAGCTGTGGAAGAGTTTGTGAGCCTGAAGAAGGCAAATAGAGACCTCTGGTGCAGGGGATTAGAAAGGAGGCAAGGCCATGCAGAAGGGCAGGAGCAGTGAGCATGCAGCAGTAGCTGCAAGATTTTCTTCCTGGAATGGGTGGAGCTTAGCTAAGCCCACCTTGCTGTTGTGGAATTACTGCAACCAAGAAACAAGACTGGAAAGTACATGCCTGTTAATTAGTGGTGAGAAAATCTCACAGAAGACATTGGAGATATTTATACTTGGTTCTATGTTGCTAAGCTAGGACTCTAGAGGGACTGTGGCTGGTGGTGAAGGTCACACCAGGGCAGTACAGTGAAAAACAAGGACCAGCAAAAGAACAAGCAGCTGACCCAGATCTCTTGGCTGTGGCCAATCAGAATGACATATCAGCTTCATGGGCCTAGCAGCATACAACCACCAAATAATGCCATTTTCAAGCAAAAGATATAGGTACTATCAGTCTCACAGCTGCTGAGGTTTGGTGTGGCATCTGATGTCCCCATTCCTTTTAGCTACACTTCAAACCCTTAGAGACCTTTTAATTTGGGAGAAAGGAAGAGAAGTACTGCCTTCAATAACCAAGCAAGCTTTGAGTGTATTTCTTTGCTCAGGCCCCAGCTTCCTTGTAATTAAATAACTCTAGAAACTGCTCAGAAACAAATGCAGGAACAAAGTGGGTGTTTTTTTCTTTTTTTAAAAAAAAAAAA